GATGTGTCCATACCTTTGCAATTGGTGTTTCCTGACCAGAGTGAGAAGGTCGGCATATGGTCAAATTGGTTTTTTTAATCCTTGTGATCTTTGTATAAAATACCAAGGATATTTTGGAAGTATCTCATCCCCACAGCTTTGATCCTTCTTTCAAGATCTGCTTTCAAAGTCCAGGATTTACATTCATACAGAAATATTGATATGAACAGGGAACGCTACAGTCTGATCCTCTGATGGTGATATTTCTGTCGGTCCAGATGGTTTTCAACTTGATCATTGCTCCTGAAGTTTGCGCTAATTCATAAAAAGAAATTTTAAGTAAGCTTTGCTTTTAGGTTTGCTCAAATGATTTGTTTTCTAGCTGTAATTTGAAGACTTATAATATTCATTTACCTTTAAGCATTGATTTTTTGAGATTTTTCATTTACTTACTTGCAAGAATTCTGTTCCTGTATAAAAATAGAAGCACTAAATTATGGTGCCGGGAATACAATGCTGATTTTCATTTAAAAACATTTGATCTTTCTACATCGAACTAAGAGGTATGAAAAGCAAAGATGTGCGACGGAAGTACAATTTCACTAGTCCTGCTCATTTTGGACTCCAAAGACATTATATTTTACTCGTGCCAACTCAATAAGCCTATGTCTTCCAATCTCTATATTCAAGCTGATGGACAACTTTTATAATTACCAGAGGATTGAAAATTCAGGGATTGGGGGGGGGGGGGAGGGATGGCTTCTCCATATTAATTATGTTAATCTTGTGTTTTTCCTCGTGTCCACAGTGTGATTCAAGTAGACCCTTTCATGCTGAGCTTGTGGGAGGTCTACTGTAAAGTCAGGGAGTCGGGGATCAAGCAGGTAACTAAGAATATCGATTAAGTGAATTCCACTTCTATTGATCTGCTTTGGGAAATGTGATTTGCAATGGCATACATCGGTAAATAATTACCACTGTTGTATTTATGAAGCAGTACCTCTAGCTATAATAATATCATCTATCTCTGACAGACCAGTGCCTGTGGTGGGTTTGTTAAGGGCTTCAATGTAGCAAAAGAAATGTGATTGGTCTCTGCTTTGGGAGAATTTTTATCGAGTATCTCATTCTTTCTGGTAGAACGTTGTGACCCTCTCAACTTGCATTGTCCCTGAAAGACAGAGCTTAAGCAGCCCGCAGCCCATGTCCCAAGTGATCTAAATAGTGTTGATTGGGGGGGGGGGGGAGGGGCGTTGCTACAACAATTAGGTCTACATTTTTTACAGATCCTATAGGATGGGGACAAGCGCATATAGTTCTATTGTCCTATATCTATGGATCCACATTTTGCATGATGAGGGTAGTGAAATAAAATTTAATTCGTTGTTTGTTTCTGAACTTTAAAGGTTTGTTTATAGTTATTCCATTTTACAGTTGTGCCAATCTTTCAATATTTGTGTATGTATTGCCACTTAAAAAAGGAGCAGCTGTGTCATTTCGGCAGGTTTTGGGATCAGGTATTGACTTTTGGAAGTAAGCCTACATGTACATGATATTCTGTCAGTAAGATTACTCTTCTTCTGATTCCCTGTATTTATGGGATGGAATGTAAAATCGATCGAGAGTATCAAAACAAGGCTATAAAATCTCTCGCATCCGAGGTGATTTTACTAAATGATTTTTGACACAAGGTTTCCATGTTCTCTATTTCAACATCTGTTCTCAGCCGCTTCATCTCGGCTTGTTCCGAAATGACTTCATGATGAACTGTCTAGATGATAGCGTATGTCCTGGTCAGATTGTCAGCGCAGACCGGCTAGAGCTCAAGCAGATTGAGTTCAATACTGTCTCTGCAAGTTGTGGGGGAATCGCAGGCCAGATGGCAGATTTGCACAGGTAATAATAACTATCATAATCATAATCATAATCAAAATCATAATCGTAGTCAAAATCACAATCGTAATCCAAATTATAATCGTAATCATAACAACAATCATAATCGTTATCGTAATCATATTATTCATAATCATAATCAAAATCGTAATGGACAGCATTTGTATAGCCCAAATTCCTACTCAACAGCAAGTTCTATGCGCTTTACAATTTATATTACTTTCTCAGCAGACCTGATAGTATTCTGAAACAATCTCGACTTTCTCGGAAGTATACAGAGGAGGCTACCACTCTACAGGCGCCAAAATACTTTAAGATACTGACATCTTTTCCTGTCTGTGGCCCGGTACCCTTTCTCACCTGGATGAAGTGAGGAAAATTCGTGTAAAGTACCTTTCCCAAGGACAAGAAGTCGGGCCTGAGGCTCGAACCCCCGAACCTGCAATCCTAAGGGGATTACGAGTCCGGTAGCTTAACTACAAGACCACTGGCGATGAAATGAATTAATAGTATAAAACAGTTTTTTTCTTCGGACTCTGCTATCTCTGCATGCAGCTGCAGACAGATTGTGAGGTCTAATTGCTCTCTCTCTCTCTCTCTCTCTCTCTCTCTCTCTCTCTCTCTCTGTCTGTCTGTCTGTCTGTCTGTCTGTCTGTCTGTCTGTCTGTCTGTCTCTCTCTCTCTCTCTCTCTCTCTCTCTCTCCCTCTCTCTCTCTCTCTCTCTCTCTCTCTCTCTCTCTCTCTCTCTCTTCCTCTCTCTCTCTCTCTTTCTCCCCACCCCCTCTCTCTCCCTCTCCCCCTCTCTCTCTCTGTACGACGGTATAATGTTTTTGCATTCATTTTGAAAAAAGTAGGTTTTATGTAGTTAATGAAAGAAAAGTAGTATTTGTCATAAAGAGGTATTTTTGTTTGGTTTTATTTAAAACATTTCTCTTTTTTTACAGACTGTCTCTTGGAATGGCTGGGAAAGACTTGAAACCAGAACAGGTTAGTCCTTTCTTATACATTACCGCAAAGTTATTTTTATACTTTACTATTTTTTTAGTTAAGTTTTCCACAACAGGTGAAATGTATATTCTAGAAGACGTTCTGGAAGATATTTCTGAATGCACATTTATTTCATTGTCTTTTTTATGTTTGCGTTTCTTTATCACGCATTTGAAAAGGATTGTTTTGTTGTTGCTGTTGTTGTTGTTGTTGTTGTTGTTTGTTTGTTTGTTTGTTTGTTTGTATGTTTAGCTTATTGTAATTTCAGATATTTTCTTATTGATAAGGGGTAGATTTTTATACACTTTACTTCGCTGAAACTGATGCTTGAATACCAGATAACTGGTCACATGATCTAGTCTAATTAAAGCTTTGGCTTGATTTTTCCTTAACAATCACATGTGATTCACAATATGGAAAAGTACGTGTTATGTTTTATGGTAGAATACGACGAGTTGTGCTAAATGTAATGGGATTTCCGTTTCACAGTGTGAGAAAGTTATGTACAGACGGTTGTGTAAATCTAGAGATAGCATTTTTGCTTCTTCATGCATGAACTTAAGTTCTTTTAGTTTTGGTCTTTCAGATGTATGAGTAGGGGATAAGAATAAAGGACACTTTAGAGTATATATTACTATGTAAAACACTGGTTCACTGTATGCTGAATGTGAAAGGAGATTCGTGGGCCTGTAGTGAATGAAAGTGTTCTGTGACTTTTTTCAAGTGAATGTTTAGTCAAATTAACTCAAGCACAAACTTAACCGTACTATACACTGTTTTTCACTGCAGCTTCCGGACAACAAGCCTGCTGTGGGACTTGCTGACGGTTTGGTTAAAGCGTGGGAACTCTACGGAAATCCCAGGTACAGAGTGACACATTTGATGCCGACAAGCCTGGAGCTTGGTAATCTAGTTAACTTTTGGAACTGGTGGAGGGTGAAAAATTGATGCTTTCAGGCCCATGGTTTGGTAATTTAGAGAGCATTTTGAACTCTGGCTCAGAGCAAGACATTTGAGGCTTGCAAGCTGATAGTTCAGCTTGTGATTCAGTATACATTTTGATCAGGTAGAGAGTGAGATGTCTAATTTTTATAAGCCCATAGTTTTGTCACATGCTTAGAATTTAGAACCTGTGTTCAGGTCCAGATGATTTACCCTGTGTTGATTTTTATGCACGAGGTTACTATTTCTTTATTTGCATTCTGAGTGGGAAAATTGTCGGCGTGATCTTGAAAGACTTTTTTGTTCGTTTTGTTTTGAGTCAATTTATAGAAAAAGGACTGCAAAAAATCGGCTCTTTTAATCAACCTAATCTTTTTGAGCTGAAGAATATAAATATCCTTTAAATTAAGGCTAGATATCTGACTGAAATTTTGCTGTCTCTTTCTTTGAACAGATATTTTTTTCAGTCTTCATTCGCACTGGTTGACAACTAGCAACCATGTTACCCGAAGTTGTATTTTTCATGATTTTTTAAAATTTAGTTTTGTCTTCATTTTTCTGGTTGACAATTGAAATCATTCCACTCACAGTAAATTGAAAAACAACTTGTGTGACTATTATTATTCCACAGAGCTGTAATCATATTTGTAGTGAGTACCTCGGAGCGAAATGTCATAGATCAAAGATGGGTGGAATTCAAAGTTTACGACAGGAACCCTAATATCCGGATTCTACGCAAGACTTTCTTGGACATTTATAACCACGGCCATTTGGATGACCACAGCAGACTCATCATGTAGGTAGAAATTATGTTTTGTTTAGTTTAGTAAGAGTTTTACAGCGCTCGCAAATGCATAGGGTTATATTATGAGCGCGTGAAACACAAGTTAGGTTGCATTCACAACAGTTCACAGTACGCTTGGTTTTGGTCAATAAGTAGGTTAATTGCTTTAAAAATAGATGAGGAGTCCACTGAAAAAACGGGCGTAGTTACAATCTGAAAATCGCGAGAGTACCAATTTTGAACGCTTGTTGGCTCATAACTGTATTTCTGTTCAGCTGTTGGTTGATTATTGTTGTTAGATTTACCATCCAACAAACATATAAAATAAACCACCAAACAAACAAATATAAAGTTATGAGTCCACAAGCTTTGAACATTGACACTCTCACAATTTCCAGTTTGTGACTATGCCCGTTTTTTTTCAGTGGAGTCTTCAGATATCCTGTAACAGTTTTTGCTTAAATTTAAACTGCTTTGTATTTTATATCCATTTCCTTTTAGTGGTGTCTAGCTGGCAAGATTCTTCGTATTGTTGATGATAATTTTGTTGTTGTTGGGACAATCATCAAATATCTTAAGTGTTGAATAGAATTTGTTACTTTCCATATGAAAAACTCAAAAGTTCGAAGCCCTCAGATACCCCTTTCAGAATCAGCTTTACTTTTCCATTTTAAATATTCTTGCTTTCATCGAAATTATAGGATGATTCAGTCTTGAGTGCTACTTTTAATCTTACTATTTGGTATACAAGCATTGGCCACACATGCTTTTATGAGATTGTTGTATGTGTGATGCACCTTTTTGCTGACTTTATTCGTAACAATTAATTGTTCGAGGTAATATTATAATCATTGCTTTTTATTTATATCTCGTCTACCAGAGATGGTGATGAAGTAGCATTGATCTACCTGAGGGATGGATACACAGCAGAAAACTACACTTCTCAGAAGGTCAGCCAGGATCTTATTCTATTAAGCTTTTAGTCTTGGATTTAGTCTTGATCAGAGATACCCGCATGTTATGGTGTTTTACACATTTCCCTTAGAGCTGGCTGCTCAAAGTGGCTAACCGGAAGCTCACTTTACCTATTTATCTCCACTTCATGGGGCTGTCTTACATATCACTTTTCCCCATTTTTACTTCTCACAATCCTCTCCATGCACATTCTACATCCACACATGTTTCATGTTTGTTTTCTGAGATTAACAGTAACCTGTGGGGTCAACAACCCATTTTGGAAAATATTAAAAAGTTTTAATTGTTATTATTTTTAATGAACACACCTTGGGATGGTTTTTTAAGATATGTAAATGGATGAATGGATGGATGGATGAATAGATGGATGCCTGCCTGCCTGCCTGCCTGCCTGCCTGCCTGCCAGTGCTATTATAACCAAATTCACCCCCCCCCCCCTTGGAATTATATTATCTTCATTATTTATTTCACTTCGCTCATATTGTCTTCCTTGGTTGGTATAATGTTCCCTATTTGTCTTTCCTAGGAATGGGACGCCAGGCTGAAGTGTGAACTGTCTCGTGCCATCAAATGTCCCTCTGTACAGCTTCAGCTGACCGGGGCCAAGAAAATCCAACAAGAGCTGACTCGGCCCGGGGCTCTGGAACGTTTTGTCTCTGACCCACAGGTGGTCAACACACTGAGGGACACCTTTGCTGACCAGTACAGTCTGGACCTGGTACATTTCTCATTCGTCATTCTATTCTCGGACTTGTTTATAATAAAGATAATGATAAATAGCATTTGTATAATGCATATTTGTCTATAATAGTAATAATAATAAACAGCATTACAATAAATGTGTCTAGCCACTAAATCTTTATTATAATGGTAATTAAATGCTTGAGCTCAGGGCCAGTACGTTTAACTGATACAGCATACTCAGAACAATATTCCTTTAAATAATGCGAGGAACACATCATAGCGCTTCCCGCAATAGGGAAAATAGAACTAGTTGAAACGATTTACTTATTATGTATTGTACGCCTTATAAACCCTCCCAGCAGTCCGTTAACTGTCTACACTGGATATATAAATGAGAGACCTGCAGCGTTTGAAAATTTGTGTATGTTAATGACATGCTGAATTAAACATTTTATGTGTGCGCTTACTTAATAGACTTCGCTGCTTTTCCTATTGTCAGTCCCCTCCCCCCAAGAAAAACAAACAAACAAACAAAAAAAGCAACATGTGATGTACAGAGCCCGCAGAATGTTAGCCGCGATAATAATATAGCAAGGTAATAGTGTATTTCGTTTTATTTCATAAAGATTATTAATATTAGTGGACCAATGTCTACTAAAAACAAGATGGTTTCTATCCAACCTTTGATGGATCCTGGAGAGGAAAGGGGGGGGGGGGGCAGCTATGGCATTGTACCGCCTGAGGTGATACCCATTCTCCAGTCGAGTAATTAAGTAATCAACTTTATAAAGATAAATTTTATCTGGATTATGTTTTCAGAACCAAGAAGGGGATGCTGCCGTGAAGCTCGCCTTGCAGTCTCCTGAGAAATTTGTCTTGAAACCCCAACGTGAAGGCGGAGGTGAGTAGTTCTTTGATCATCTTCCTCTTCTTCCTCCGGTATCTGATATATTTGGAGGGTTTTTCAACATTTAGTAGTAGTAATTTTGATTGATTTAGGAAAAATACGTAATATCCGCCATAGTACTCAAAGATTTGCTTGTATCACACAGCGTACCTTTACGACAGTAACAAAAACAAAAAGAAAAGAAAAAGAAAGTGGTCTGGGGTTGTTAACACACATTGACAAGATTTCATTGATTTTCTCACTGTCTATTCATCTCTGTGCCAATTCTCAGGTAACAACTTGTACAATGATGACATCACCCATTTCTTCAAGGAGCACAATGGCTCCAAAGAGCGGAGTGCGTACATTTTGATGCAGAGAATTTACCCATGGCAACAGAAGAACTATCTTGTCAAGCCTGGAGTCCCTTTTGTTTTGTCCGATGTCGTCAGTGAGCTGGGCGTATTTGGAGCATACATTGGGTAAAAATTATATCGCTTTTGCAGGTTTCTTTTTGTCACAGCCAAATAGCCAGATTTTTGCCAGCGTCTGTGGTTTAATGGTTGTCAGGCTCATTGCCACTGTGCACAGAAAATATCGATTAACATTTTATTGCCACATTGGAAAGTTATTTTCTCTCGGATACCTCTCCCGCATGGGAGAGTTACATGTATTTCTATTTACTCCGAATGCTTCAAAACATATGCAGTAGAAGTTTGAGAATACACCCATTCGATTTAGCATATTATAATTTCCAACGGAATCTCAAAACTGTTGTTTGACTCAAAATGGTATCCCCAAAGTTTGTGTGTGGACTTATTGACCTACAGTGTTTAATAAGGGGGTGTTGAACTTATACCGTATGAAGGATTTCCTTTGCTATTCCACAGATCCGCTGATTCGGAGGTCGTGAACTTTGAATGTGGTTACCTAATGAGGACGAAGATCCAGGGCATTGACGAGGGGGGCATTTTTGCTGGCTTCGCAGTTTGGGACAATCCTCTGGTCATCTAGCTAATGGTTCATCTTGTAGACTTGTCATTTGGAAAAGTGGTTACAAATGTAAACGTTTTACAGAACAGAAGTTGTTTTATTTGACAATAATATGTCTGTATGTTGAAAACTACTTTTAGCCTGATCTGAAATATCTTAATATCTTTTATAAAACGTGTTTGTGAAACGATGTTATAGATTAAATTATAGCAAATTGTTTTGGGGATGTCCTAGGGATAGGAAGTCTGTGTTCTTGGACGTTCTCAAACCAGAGTTTTCCACGGGTGGTTGGCAGGTGCTCTGTTGTGGTTGGCTTATTCTTTTCCACAAAACATCTATCGTCCTTCTCTCCTCCTTCTTTTTTTGTGGTTGTTATTCTCTTGTAACACCTTCAACTTCCGCACTTATATTATGACCTTATTCTCATGGATATGCCGCAAAACTCTTTCATACTATAACTATATTAAAGATCTGTCCTATTCTCTTCTCATAACCCACTTGTTCATGGTCTCTGAGTAAGTTGTTCTTGGTTTTAGTTTTAAGTTTCACGGCACTTGCAACACTATAAGGCCATATGAGTGCCGACGATTAGAGGTGTTACAAGAGGGTAACAAACATAAAAAAGAAGGAGGAGAGATCAATCAGGACGATAGGAGTTTGATAGGAAAGAAGGAGGAGAGATCAATCAGGACGATAGGAGTTTGATAGGAAAGAAGGAGGAGAGATCAATCAGGACGATAGGAGTTTGATAGGAAAGAAGGAGGAGAGATCAATCAGGACGATAGGAGTTTGATAGGAAAGAAGGAGGAGAGATCAATCAGGACGATAGGAGTTTGATAGGAAAGAACAAGCAAACCACACAACAGCACCAACCAACCGCCCATTGTACTTGGTCTGCCCCTGTCAGTGTTAAGCAATTGTATATTTAAGGCAGCGAGGTGGAATCAGGCTCTCGTCAATTTTTGGGCATTAAGAGTTATTGGTATCATCTTAAAATTTGTTCACTTGTCTTTATTTGGTTGAAAAAAATATCCATTTATCTTGAATACAAGTCGAGATTTTTTGAATGAAGGAGGTGGGGGTCACCTGTTTTCAGTGAGAAAATGGCCACCAAAGATTAGTTATTTCCTTAGCTTAAGAGTCCGTGGTAACAGAAAATTTAAATGTTGTGTGCCTTTAACCAACGTTTTTCAGAAAAATCCACACAGAAATGAGTTCTTTAATGGACATGAAAGGTGTTGAGCCAAAAAAACAAAATTTTTATACAAATTCACAAACCTGTGGAAAAGTGCAAGTTTCTTCACTTTGATTATTATGACGAGAGCCTGATTCCACCACGCTGCCTCACATATTATGTGTCTCAATGTGGTGGAATCAGGTGTGCATCAATTTTTGGAATTATGCAGTAATTAGTATTATCTTAACGTTTGTTCATTGTCTTACTTTTGATGAAAAAAAACAAAAAACTCGCCCATCTGTTATGAGCAGAAGTGGGGAAAATCTCTCATTGCTCAAATTACTAAGATAATAATAATATATTTTGTTTCAAAGCTTTTTTTTAGATTCAAATAGTTTTGTTTTTAATTGCTTTTATTGCAATTTAGGATACTTGGCCTGCACTTCCTTTTGAAATTATTTGAACATTTCCTCTCAGTATTGTTGTCTTGTGGTGATTGAAAGATCAAAAACTTTTCACGGTTTTTCATTTGTAATTGTTTTTGTTGTTTTGTTTTTTTTGTTTTTTTTGGGGGGGGTGGGTTTTTTGGTTTAGTTGAAGATTATCGTTGTCATAAGAAATTTTTTTCCCAATTTGACTTTGCTCTATAAGAGGAGGAATACAGATGAAGAGGTGTAATTTTTATTTCGTGACAGCAACAACATAATTATAAACCTGTTATTTTTGTGTGTGGAGTTGTATTGTTTTGTTATGTCTTGTTTTTCTTAGGAAATAAAAAGAGTATTTCAAAGATCCAACATTTTTACTTCATTCAATATTTTGTGAATTTTTGTCACTTTGTTTTTTGTTGTTTTTTTGCGTGCTGTGGCGGAGTGGTTAGTGCGCTCGTCTCCGAAGCAGAAAGTCCGTGTTCGAGCCTTAGTTCGGACAAGGATTTGTTTCGCCACCTCCTGCCGTCCCAGTAGTAATGACTTCGAGTTGGGGAAGTAAAGGCGGCGTGGAAAGGAACTACTACTATTTGCCGAAGGCCTTGGAAGGTCTCACTAACAAGGCAATCCCAAATGTCCGGATCGGATGCGTGAACAACTTTACCTAAAAAGCTCGGAACTGTTTTTGCTTTGTGCTGGGAGAAGAGAGAAACTTCTTTATATGAGGGTGCTCTGGTGCGCTCCTTCTTTTCTATCAAACATCTTACGTCCTACTTCTTGTTTATGTACTTTGCATATCTCTCTCTCTCTCTCTCTCTCTCTCTCTCTCTCTCTCTCTCTCTCTCTCTGTGTGTGTGTGTGTATGTGTGCGTGTGTGTGTGTGTGTGTGTTTGTCTCTCTCTTGGTAACACAACTACCACAATCGGGTGCTCTCGTGGTCTAAAGGTTTGATGTTCGCCTATCAAACAATAGATCCTGGTTTCGAAACCTGACAGAGATGGAAAATTTTCATTTCTAATTTTGTCTCCTTTCACGTCCTTTCTACATCTAACTATGTTCTGTCGTCTGCCTTCGTCTTCACTTTCTCCCCCTACCCTGCCCCTCTTTGCCCCTTCCTTAACCAAAAAGAAAAAAAATCACCATCAACCAGGCTGAGCTGGCTGTATGGACGTTCTTGTTTTCGTACTTGTGGTGGTCGAGCCTTTTCCTCGGTTATTTCCCTTCATCTCCAGCCCTTGCTTCACGAGTTATGAGTCGTTCAGTCTCAGCTGCCCACACCTC